AAGTTTCCCCACCCTTCTTTCCTCCCAGTTCCTCACTCCCACCTCCACTCTGGCCCTCATCACATCCACTCCTCCATTTCTATTCAGAAAGGGGCAGGCCTCCCATGGATATTGACAAACCACAACACATTAAGTTGTAGTAAGACTAAGCACCTCCCCATGTATTAAGGTTGGGTAAGGCGACCCAGTAAGAAAAGTAGAGACCCAAAAGTCAGCAAGAGTAAGAGACAGTCTCTGCTCACATTGTTAGAAGTATCACAAGAAGAGCAAGCTACGTAACTATCAAATACATGCATAGGGCCTAGATCAGTCCATGTAGGTTTCTGGTTGTTGGTTTAGTCTCTGTCACACCCCCCCCCCCCCCCATGAGCCCAGGTTAGTTGATTCTATAAGTTTTCTTGAAATGTCCTTGACCCTTCTGGGTCCTACAATCCTTCCTCCTTCTATCTAGCAGGATTCCCCAAGCTCAGCCTAATATTTGGTTGTGGGTCTCTGCATCTGTTTCCACCAGCTGCTTGTTGAAGCCTTTCTGATGACAATTAAGTCAAGGCACCTATCTCTGAGTATAGCAGAATATCCTTAGATATCATTACCTTGACATTTCTTTTTCTTCCAGTTGTGTTTGATTCTATCCTAGGTCTCTGGGCCATCCAGCCTCTGTGTCCTGGTATTCCAGGCAGTGTCAGGGGTGGACTCACTCTAATGGCATAGATCTCAGGTTGGGCCAGTCATTGATTGGTCATTGCCACAGTCTCTGTGTCACCCTTATGCTAGCACATACCATAAATCAGACGGACTGTAGGTCGAAGGTTATATGGCTGATTTTTGTGAGTGGACTTGAGGGCTGGTGGGAATGGGAACATAAGGGATCAGATAGAAGTGGAGTGTGGAGGAGAGTACGAATCAGGTTTCTGAACGCTCTGTGATCAGACTCTATTAGCACAGAGACCTTTATCTCTCAGTTTGCTGGTAGGAGATTCTAGAGGCTTACAAATTGGGCTGCTGATGTCATTTCTCAAAGTCTGTAAGTGACCACTGTGTTAAATGTACTTCAAACAAACTGAAATAATTGGCTTGGGTCTGGATACAATCTCACATCTCTCTCAGAGAGAAGAGTTCTGAGGGAGGTGTTATATTAAATGCAACTTTGAAATAAAGACACCTTAAACTTCTCAGTTCTGATGTCCTCATTGAAAATTTATTATGGCAAAGAACCCAGACCCTATGTGTGCTACAACAATCCCTTTGCTGATCTCTCCCTCTCTCTCTTTCTCCTTCTCCCGTTCCCCCTTCTTTCTCATCCCTCTCAATAAAGAGTGATTAATGGTGGGAATTTGGTTTAATGAATTATATTCAAAGTTATTTTCCGTAAAATAAATTTTGCATGCCATTGTACTTCCATCTCGGCTTCATCATTGCCTCTTGAGCTAACACAATAATATCACCAAAGTCATCCCCCATGACATCACCATTTCAATTCACATTTAAGGCAGCAATGTCATTTTCGGATGAAGTTATTTTTCCTTGTTAAAACAGACAAGGCATTTCATACATTTAGACCCAGCTGTGCAGTTGCATGATTGATTCCAAGAGAAGACTGGAGTTCTGGCAAATAACAGTTGCCTCCCTCTGCTCAGTGCATTCTTTCTTCTGCTAGATCTGGGGAAACGATTCAGGTAACTGGACTTGAGAGTGAAGTGGAGGGCAGTTAGTTCAGATGAATTCCCCAGGAAGCAGACCCTGAGACCCGCTGAGTGTGCCAGATGTCTGTTAACAAATATTTCAGGATTGGCATCTGGGCAAGAGAGAGGAAAGAAGCTGCAGTAGACAAGAGGAGAAGATGAAGTGGGAATCAGGCCCAGCACCAGGCCCTGGTGACCCCAAGCAGAGCTTGAGGCAAGAAAGACCCTTCATTATGACTTCGAGGAAGCCAAGATGACCAGGCCTTTGTACAAGTCATCGATCTGTTACTGGTGTGGGCTGCCCCGGGAGGGTCAAGGTTCTGAGTGAGATGTCGTTCTGTAGCTGAGACAGTCCCTGAAAAGTCTGTTCATGAAAGGCTGTCTTCTGAAAGCAGTGGTCCTCAGAGATGGCTGATTTGTCCCTTAAGGAACATTTAACCATATAAGCATTTACTGTCATGACGAAAAAAGGGCCCCTGGAATCTAGAGGGATGTGTCCAGGGAACTCCAAGTATGCATAGGACAGCCTCCAAAAAAAAAAAAAAAAAAAAAAAACAGCGTATGATCCAAAGCATCAATAGTGTTTCAGCAAGAACAGTCTGCTCCAGGACAGTAAGTCCTTTGAAACAACCTGCTAGACATCACTGTATCCTCTCTTGGAGTCATTGTTAATGGAGATGTAGCTTCTTTGACAATGATGCATTTCTTTTTCTTCTTACTATTCCAGTAAAAGTTTGGAGGCTGGCATCAAAGTTTCCTTTTGCTCATGAGGAAACTGACCCTCAGAAAACTTAAGTGAACTGCTCCAGGCATGAAGTGAAAGGACCAAGCGTGGGGTAGAAAGTACCTGTGTGTGGAAATAATTGTTGTGTCTCCTTTCCCCTGCAAGTTCAAAACACACCCCCTAGTGTATTGACTGTTCCAAGTTGGAGACACAAGAAAAGAGAGAGCACAAGAGCTAGTACTTTTAGTAAAATAATATAAATTATTATTTATATACATACAAAACAAAGAAATAGGAATAAGACAAAGCAAGCAAACTACCAGACAAAAATAGTCAAAGAAAAAAATGTGAGAAATATATATAAAGACATGCATATTCATACACAGAGACATTAAGTAAAAAAAAACACATAATATATACTCAATGGACCTATAAGGAAAAAAAAAGAGAAAAAATAATGCTCAGTAAAGCATTATGAAACAAGAAACCTCCAAATACATTACTGAGTAGATTTGATGTTTTCCATTTACTACTGTTCTTAGTGGGATCTGTCTTAGTGTTGCAGGAGATTTGTATTGCTGTGAAGAGACACCATGACCACAGCAACTCTTAGAAAGGAAAGCATTTAACTGGGGCTGGGTTACAGTTTCAGAGGTTTAGTCCATTATAGTCATGATAAGAAGCGTGGCAGCATGCAGGCAGACATGTTGCTGAAGAAGGAGCCGAGAGTTCTTCATCTCTCAAAGCTTTTAAAAGCTCAAAGCTCACTTCCAAAGTTTTATCTTTTTGAGACAGGATTTCTCTGTGTAGTCTTGACTTTCCTGATCCTCACTCCATATACCAGACTGGCCTTGAACTCACAGAGATCCACCTGCTTCTGACTCCAGAGCTCTGGGATTAAAGGCACACACCCCCATTGCTGCCAGCTGTGGTTTTTTTATGTTAGTCTCTGTTTGCTGCAAAGAGAAGTCTCTTTGATGAGAGTGAGAGCCACACTTATCTCTGTGTAAAAGTTAAGTTTCTGATGCAGTTAAGATTATGCTGGTCTAGTAAAGTGGAAGGGGTAGGTTCTCCTTGAAGATTCACGACCTTACTGGTTCTAGTAGTTGGCTAAGTCATAAGTCTTTTATGGTGGAAAATCACAAAGATTAGAAAGACCTGAATAACTTACCCAGAAGTATATCCACACCTGGGTCACATTCCACAGCTAGAAAAACTCCTCAAAAGGAAAAATGTACACCTGCATGTGTGCATTGATTTTTGAAGTGAGAATCTTTACTGTTCATCAGCACAACATGGTATGAGCTGTTACATGTCAGTAAGAGTTTAGTACTGTTTCCCCCAGCAAAAGTATATGCACTTTATAAGTTTAGAGTAAATGTTCCTGATGTGTAATTTGCATATGAGAACAAAATATGCAACATTCTTATAAAATCGAAGTAGCTACTTGATTTTCACTAAATGAATTTTTATGAATTTTACCGAAAATGTGTGCTTGCGCCAAGGCTGTGGTTACAGTTGTACCATGACATGGTTGATGATTGTTGCCTGGGATATCCAAATTTCATAACACCAATGGAGGATCATAGTACAAAGGCAAAAGAAGCCGTTTGCTGAGAAGCTACTGCCATGTGATGCCTCCATCATACACACATGAGAGATGTAAAGAATCAGGAAAAACACAATAGAGAAATGGCGCAAAGTGATGGCAAAGGATCAGTTTTGGTCATTAAATTGTCTTTGCTTGGGTGTTATCTATTTCATTATTGATTGCATTTTGCTTCTTTGTTTGTTTAAGATGGGGATTCACAATGTAGTGTTAGCTCGTTTAGAACTAACTATGTAGCTGTGGCTAGCCTCAAACTCACAGAGATCTAGCTGTTTCTGCCCTCTGAGGGCAGGGTTTATAGTCATAACTAACTATGTAGCTGTGGCTAGCCTCAAACTCACAGAGATCTAGCTGTTTCTGCCCTCTGAGGGCAGGGTTTACAGTCATAACTAGCTAAGTAGCTGTGGCTAGCCTCAAACTCACAGAGATCCAGCTGTTTCTGCCCTCTCAGGGCAGGGTTTACAGTCATAACTAACTATGTAGCTGTGGCTAGCCTCAAACTCACAGAGATCTAGCTGTTTCTGCCCTCTGAGAGCAGAGTTTACAGCCATGTACCACAAGATTTTTGTTAATTTCTTTTTCTTTTTCTTTTTTCTTTTTGTTTTTCGAGACAGGGTTTCTCTGTGTTGCTTTGGAGACTGTCCTGAAACTAGCTTTTGTAGACCTGGGATGGCCTCAAACTCACAGAGATCCTCCGGCCTCTGCCTCTGCCTCCCAAGTGCTGGGTTTAAAGGCGTGCGCCACCACTGCAGGGCTGATTTTTGTAATTTCTTAATAATAATGGCTGAACAATTGTCTTAAGAAATTCCTGAAAATTTAATGGCTGGGTCTTGTGAGTTCATCTAAGTGCTTGAATTCACAGATCTGAGCGCAACTTCATAAATGGAAACAATCCAATTGTCAAGCAAAATAGATGTCTAGAGAGATGATGCTGAGCCCAGCCACTCTCTTAACACTAACTGCTGTTTTTCTGGTTTATTCACAGGCATTTCCCTGCATCTCAACAGGCATTTACGGTGAGTGGTTTAGCATTTGATGGCGTTTGTGATCGTTTGTTTTGGTTGTTAAGTTGGTGGGCAGGGGTAGGGAATGGTTAACCAGAAAACTACAAAATGCTATGAATATATTTTTCTGTGATTTAGAGAGGCTGAAATGTAGGTCATGTCCCACTAAGGAGCCCCAGAGGGTTGTTCAGATTGGTTTGTGGTCTTGAATTTGGTTGCATTGAACATCCAGATGAAATGATTTGACACATGGTGTCTCCACGTCTTTTGTTACATATACAAAAAAAAATTGTACTAGCAAGATTGACTTCTAAAATTGTTTTCTCTATTATAGTCAAATTTTTCCTCTCATAAAATGTATTGTGTACATAAAGTCTAGCATCTTTGTTTTATTGTGGCTTACAAAAATTAAAATGCACAATATATATAATATATATAATCATATATATTAAACTTTTAAGTTATACAAAGAAGTAACCGTTAATAAAAACAAAAATTATTTTAATAACCTGAATTTTTTTCTGATATACATGAATTGTTTTAAGTAGTGAAAGATGGACTTTTTCTAAACCTGGTATTTCTTTAAAGGCCTTGATGAGAATAAAATGAAAAATGTCCCACCAAATAAAATAAAGAGGCCAAAGACTGTTGGTCATACATCTAGATATTTAAGGTAGACTTCCTCCTTGGTCATACTTCTAGACATTTAAGGTAGACTTCATCCTCTTCAGATTGCTCTGTACAAATCATGAGTTCATGCTGTAGGAATCGACAGGTGAGGACTGGACCCTCCTAAGACATTGGTCTATATTCTTTATGCTGCTCCTTCCTCACAAAGGTCCTGTTAAAAATCTTAACTATTTGCATGAGAGAAACATTGTGTGTAGGCGGTAACATGCCCGATTGTAACCTTCAGTGTGAGGAGTCTAACCAGCTAACACTGCAGAAATGGTTCTCCTTGTAAGAATGTTCTTCCATCACGATCCTGATTTTCCTCAACAACAAACAAACATAGGACTGCTTAAACCACCACATTGGGCTCTTTGTCTATTATCGTGCCAAGCCATGGATGGCTTTTGATTCTGAAAATATTATAGTAATGTGCAAAGAATTATCTTAGGATATGCTGTATACAGGGAAGTAACTAGAAGGAAAAATAGAAAAGTAAAGGATGATAAGGAAAGACTATTAAAATAGAGCCCCAAATAGACAGGGATGCAAAGTCTCACCTAAAGTAGATCCCGGTCACTGTTCTTTCCAAAAGAATAAGAATCCCTCTTGGGGAGGGAATGTGGAGGAGAATCTAAGAGCTGCCTCAGTCTTCCCTTGGGAGGAGAAGGCACTAGTGAAGACAGGACTGTAGCAAAGTGGCTTCCACTAACTCACTGAAGGCCTGAGCATATCTACTTTTCTAATCACTGTGAGGAAATGCCTGAAAAAGCAGCTTAAGGAAGAAAGGGGGTTCTTTTGGCTTTTGGTTCAAGGGTCCCTCATGCAGGGAAGACTTGGTAGTGAAACATAAATGAGCTGGCCAGATTGTCTGCGTAGTCATGAAGTGAGTGTGAAAGGTGAAAGCTTCTTAGCTGGCATCCTCCTCTTCTCCAGTCTAGGACCCCAGCCCATGGGGCAGTGCTGTGTATGTTCAGGGTGGGACTTTCCATCTTAATTTAGCATCTATAAAATCCCTTACAGACACATAGAGAGGTAGATCTCCTAGGTGATTGAAACCCAGTCAAGCTGACAATGAGACCTAGTCATTGCCATTGATGCCATGAAAGTATATCCATTTCCACAATGCTAGGTCAAAGACTACAATACTCACATAGCGGCTGGCTTCTCATCTTGATTCTCTTAGTTTGGGAAAATTTATGAAAGAGGATGAAACCCATGACAGTCAGGGGCCATGTTCAGTTATAATCCATGGCATCTATTTCACTAGCTGGTAGAAAACTCTAAGATGCTGTATTTCATTGCCCATTTTACACTGGGCAGTTTGAAGGTGACACCCAGTTCCCTTATGAAGCCAACGCTCTCAGATTAGCCCTTGATCCTTTGGCAGAGGACACATATATTGCTGAGTGGTTGTTTTCTTATTCTGATTCAGAGTCTGGTAGCAACCCTTCCTTAATTAGCTGCTTTAGTTTTTCTTTTACCTTGGTTTCTGGGAAGCTGATTTACTAATACATTTAAAGAATGTAGTCTTTGGCTGGAAAGGAAAAATCAATTAAAAACAAGCAAAGACTGAAAATTGCAGCTCCTAGTGAGGTTGATCTTGAGCAAATGTTGAGAATAATCTTGGGTTCTATTTCCTGCCTTTCTTACTCCACACTGCAAGCCGCGCTAGATTAATTTTTCTGTGTGGCCACTTGCTGCGCTCCCCATCTGCTCAGGAGCCTTGGACGGCATTCCATTACTTGCGAGTTCATCTTCACTCTCTCTCCTTGGAACAATGGGCATTTTCTATTTATATTCCCTGAAGCTATCACTCTTTCAAAAAGAGAGGGAAAAAAAAAAACCCAAACCCTGTCTGAGAGGATGTGGAGTAGTGTACTCAGATTTGTATGATTTCACATGCTCAAAAGAAGAATTTAGTTTGCAGCAGCTTTGTTTGGCTTTTCATTGTTTGAGGCAATGTACTTGAACTTGTGATCTTGCTGTCCCAGCCTCCTGAGTACTGGGGTTACAGGTATATAGCAGCATGCCCAACTTGAACAGTTTTTATTTAAGTAATTAATTTATTTATTTTTGCCAGGAAAGTCATTTTTGATGAAACACTTCTCAAGACCAACTGTTTTTGTTTCAGACCATCATTTGGCATTCATCTATCCTGACACACCCTCTGCAACACAAATCTGAGAACATATGAATAACAAGGTCCAATTATCCGTCCATCTTTCCTATAATACACTCCTTTATCACACACACACACATAAACACACACACACGACAAAGTTTTAAGTTATCTGCATATCTCCATCTTTGCTTTCTAAGCAATCCAAGAAGAATCATACTATGCATATCTGAGCAGGTTGCACTTCCATCACCAGGAAGCCTTGAGAGTCCATCTCTCAAAGATCATTGCATCTCCTGAAACTTTTGAGCATTTGAACGTGACTGATAAATGCTTCTTTGTGTATTCCACACAGTTTTCTGAATAATCTTTGCACTCACAGAGGTTTGGGTTATGACTGTCATTGTCATCATTATTATTTCGTGTTGTGCAGTATCAAAACCAGGGAGTCTTGCACTTTCTAGGCAGGTGCTGTACCACTCAGCTGGACCTCTTAACATGCAGGCTTCTTCAAGAACCACAGTATTAGGGAGCATAACTGTGCATACCCCATCCCCAACGGAGGAACCCTATGTCCATTGATCAGCAAGTATTTGTTGTTGTTGAGGGTAATAATGTCACACAAATTGTCGTTTTACTGCAGATATAGAAAAGTAACATTTTGATTGGCAAAGGAACAGGCAGAGAAAGCTAATCAGTTGTCATTTTCTTTTTTTTTAATTTTCCCCTAATATGTAAGACATAAACATTATACATATTCACCTGATTTTGTGGAATGTTTGGTTTTGTTGGTATATGGACACATTATACAATGCTCAAATCAGGCTGTATATATTTATGACCTCAAGCATGTTTATGGCCAAAATCTTCAAAATCATTTCTCATCACTTTTGGAAATATTTAATAATCTGTGATTATGTGTAGTTTACCTGCCCAAGCAGTATTATCTTAGAGGGCAAACAACGCTAGTTTAGAGAAAAGAAACAGTTGCAAAAAGCATTTTCGAACTGGAACTGGTGTTTGTGGGCATGGCAGATCAAATGATGCCACAGAACTTGCTCATTTGAGTGCCCTATTGAACGGGGCATTTCACTTAAGCAGAAACCCTCTGTGGTCTGTTATAGCTCCTAGGACTGTGATTGGTGGGGAACATACTAGCCAGGGAGCTAGCATATTGTGACTTCTGACATGCCTCACCCCCGGGCTTCTCCAGAAGCTGTCACTTACCAGTCTCTCACTTGCTTTGACTGGATCATCACTTTATAGAGTCATGGTCTGAAAAGGAGCTGCCATCCTACTTTCTCAATTTCAAATATCAGGGATGCAGGTTTGAAAATGTTTTGTTAAGGCCCAAGACACCTTAGTGCCCATGTAACATATCCAGCATTCTCATCGGACAGAGAGTCAAAAGGATGACCATATTCCAAGGGTGCCAACTGGACATGAATAACCCAGCACTCAGGGCCAAGTGGCCCCAGCATAAGCCACCCTACTCCCATCCTTTTCCCTACATCTTTGCCTTGGGAGGCAAACTCTGGAGTACCCCAGAATCAGCTGAGGACAACAGCCCATTTAAGGAAGAGACATGGTTAGAGCAGACCCTGCCTCTTTTGAAGTATCCTGGGAGGAGAAACTGGACTTTACCACAGGGACTGTCAGCACCGTCTTACTGACTGTCCCTGCGTAATATTTTCAGCATAGTTGCCCAGGGCCCCAGACGTCCTGCTTCCTCTCAGGATGGAAAGCCTCCTTTAGGAGGGCACCAAAGAAAAGCCAGTGCTACTTTGAGAAAAATAGATCCAGGTGAGGCTAACCCTCCCGATCCCTGTTAAACATTTGAACTGACCTCCACATTAGTCTCAGAGGGACAATTCTGAACTTCTCTGATGGACTTTTCAGACCAGATGCGTGCATTCTGCCCTCTAAGCCCCATTCAGACACTCTGGTGCTAATAAGTGTTATAAAAAGGAAAAAAAAAAAAAAAGACCAGACATGATACAGAGCAAAGGAATTTTTACTAGAAGCAAATGGCAGAAAACAGTTTCAATCCACTTTATGATAGTTGCTAGAGTTAACTGATACAAAATCCAGGCAGAAATGTCCATTGAGTACTTGGAAATTGAGTAAATAGTCTCTCAGGAGGAAAAGGAAAACATCTGAAGTGTTCTTGTATACGATGGCGTATCTTTAGAGAGAAATTTTAGACAATGAGTTACTGGTT